AAGAAGATATTATAATTATAATTATTAATATTTATAAACTTTATCATTTAATTGTAATTGCCTTTTAAATTTTATATTGACATGAAATTTCTCCAAAAAAATTACATAAGCCTTTCTTGATGGACATTATCCGATGAGCCTCAAAAGTAATTATCAAAAAAAAAAAAACTCTCACAACTAGATACAAAAATCCTCATGAAAAATTGAAAATAATAATAAAATAATATCAATTTCAGAAGGAAGGGGTTCACCCCCACCGTCCTTTTCCTCTTTCACCCCAATCCACCACCACCACAACCACCCCTAATTCCCACCCCCAACGGCTACCACCCCATAATCTAGCCGGCCACCTGCCCTTTCTTCTCTCATCTACCAAGCTCATTGGATTCTGTGAATATTAGTGGGAAAAGAAAAAAGGCAATGGGATGATTAGTTAATTATAACTTATTTTAATTTAAGAATCTATGTTAAATTATTTAGTGTAATTTTATTTATAATTTATTAAGTAAAAATAACTTAAATAAGTTAGAAAAAATTGATTAGTTGAAAATTAGAGTAGGAATACTTTTAGTTTTTACTTTTTAATTATCAGTTTTCACCTTAAAAAACTCTCCACCAAACAGGCCACTATGCAAAACAGAAAGGAAGATGGGATCGTGGGTGAGTATCATGACGCCTTTTTACGTAGTGAATGGCGATACTGTGTTATCCATGCCATAAAATTTCAAAGTAAATTTCACTATTGAATGTTTAACTGTCCACTTAACCATGAATAGAATAATTTAAGTCGTATGAGGGCTGTACAAATACAAAATCTGAGTCTAGCACATATTTAGCAATTAAATTTCATAAATACATTATCTCCAGGAATTTGTGGATGAAGCCTCGTTAAACACCATATCAACAGAAAACCTCCACACACACACACACAAAAAAATAAATAAATAAATAAAAGAACAAAATATATATATAAGGTCGTGAGGGATTAAAACTTGATTTCATATATTTTGAAAGAATTTTTTTTTTTTTTGGGACTCAGTAATGATTAAATGGCAATAAGAAAATTGTGACACGAATATTATGTTTTTAAAAATCTTAAAATTGAAAGATTTTTGTGTGTGTTCCTAATAATTGTTTCAAAAGTAAATTAAAGTTGATGAATTTAATGAAGTTCCATTCCATGACTAATTAAGTAACAATTCACTTAATGCATACTCATGAAATAAGCTAGGTGCAACGTAGTAGCATTCGCAAGAGCCTCCTATATTCTGTGGACAATCTTTATTGTAATTTTGTTAAATTTGAGAAATGGGTTTAAAGAAAAAAAAAATTAGACACAAATGTATCTCATTCAGCTTTAGTATTCTATTCAAGACGGTTGAAATGTCCCACACACAAAATCAGCACAAGAAAGTCTAAATCACCAAATCTCATTCAACATTAAAAATAATCAATAAATGAGGTCACTAGATTTAGTGAATCACATTAATTAGTTATATTAATTAACAATCTGAATGATTAAATAAAGGAGAAGAAAAAAAAATTAATAATAGAAGACAAATATGAACACAACATGTGTTATATCAAATATATACGAATATTTTTTTTTATAAATATATATATATATATATATATAGAAAGATTTGGCAAAGTTGTCAGAACAAATTACTACTCAAAGGTGGCAAAATTTGTAGTGAGTACCCCCCTTGAGTATGCATAATGTGCATTAATTAATTTTTCTATGATGGGGTCACTAGATTTAGTGAATCACAATAATTAGACATATTAATTAATACCAAGATATGGTTAAATAGTAAGAGAAAAGATACTGTAAACAATATCATGTATCATGTGAGATATACAAAGATTTAAGGCTCCGCTTGGCAAGGAAGTTTGAGGCTATTTTAGTCATAAAAGACAAAATAGGCTATTTTAGCCACAATAAACAAAATATCACATCTAATCCATAATCATTACACTCTTCTCTCACAAAAAAAGCCAAAAAGTCCTTCTCAAACCAAGCTTTTTAGCCCAGGTTAAAATAGCCAAAAAAGCCAAAAAGTCAACCCACTTCCCAAACGGAGGCTAACAGTAAAAAGTCCCTATAGTTTGGCATTTGTATTTTTTTTATTCTTAATTTTTCAATTGTGATATATTTGATCTCAAATTTTAAATCTTGTTCTAAATATGAACAATTAAAGATATCATTGCTCAATTTCAAGAGCAAAGTCTTCAATTTGATAAAATATAAATTAATTTGACAAAATTAAATGTTAAAAAAATATTTTTGAATTTTTAAAAATATTTCTACCAACCAAAGATAAAATTATGTAAAATTAATAAATCTTTTAGATATATATTTATTTATTTATTTTACTAAATTAATTTTTATTATGTGTTTGGATGATGATTATGTAATAAGTGGTTATTAGACTTTTAATGTGTAAACGATATATTTAATATATAAAATATTTTTAATTTTTAATTTTTTTATTTAATGGATTGGTTTAATAATGATATCAAAATTTTTGCCATATTTAACTTTTAAAAAAATTGAAACTAATTTAATGAAAATAAAAACAATCACTCATTATATCATCATCATCTAAACACATAATAAAAATTAATTTGATAAAAAAAAAAAAAACTAAATGTCCAAAAAATTTATCAATTTTACATAATTTTATCTTTAGTGAGTATAAATAATTTTTTAAAATTCAAAAATATTTTTTTGATATTTATTTTGGTTAAATTAATTTATATTTTATCAAATTGATGATTTTACCATTGAAAGTGAGCAATGGCATCTTCAGTTATCCTTATTTGGAACAAGATTTAAAATTTAAAATCAAATATGTCACAATTGAAAAGTTAAAAATTAAAGTGACACAAAATCTAAACTATAAGTATCGTTAGTATAATTTGTCCAAAATTTAATTAGATGGGCCGAACATTATTCTATTTATAATTAGCATAAAATATATAGTTCCCACGACCCTTTAATAAGGTCATCCGATTTGGTGGATAGGAAAAAAGGGGCCACCCAATAAGGGTGTGCTAGCATAACAAAATGTTATCTGAAATAGGAAAGATGAAAAATTATGTAGGTAGTCTTTACATTTTATTTTTTGTATTATTTTAGTTATATTTTTATTTGATTAAATTTTAATCTTTAATTTTAAATTTTGTATCAATTTAATCTAAGTATTAATATCATTAGTATTTTTTTAAAGAAAATTATCATTAAATTAATTGAGATTAACTCATTAAGTTAAATAAGTTTATAATTTTGCCTTTAAAAATATGACACTTATGTATATTTTTTCTATAACAAAAAACTACGAGCTGTAATCAATTGGATCAAATTGAGACGAAATTCATAATCAAAATCAAGCCAATTGAAATTACAGAAACTAAAATGACACGAAGCCCTAAGTATAGGGACTACTGTCATAATTTGCCTTAAGAAAAAAAAAAAAAAAAGTAGATAAACAATATCATCATAAGCAAAAAGGAAAATGTGAGATGAAAAATATTGGAGATTCTCAAAAAATTCTCACAATTTGATCTATTATGATATAATATGATAAATATTAACTTTTGGTTCGTTACATACTTAATGTAGAGTCTAACTCTGTTCACATTTCTCAATGTGCATAATGTACACCTCATTTGGTTACAATACGATGTGCTTATGACACCACATACTCTCAATTTCCATAGTGTACAGCTCATTTGGTTACAATGCGATGTGCTCTAAGTAATGACACAATGCTGTATTCACATTTACGATTGAATCATGTTTTGTCGCTATTTCAGTGACTTGTTGAGTTGCAACTCAAGATTACGATCCAATAAAATTCTTACGAATAGCTGTACAATATTTTTTGAAGCTATTTTAAGTTAAAAATCAAAATGTACCTTATTTTATTAGGTTATTGAAAAATTAGTCTTTAGCAATAAAGAGTTTGAGATAGTCTTAATAAACCCTTTTCCTTTTTTGTCAAGATTGTAAGATGTTAGTTTATTAATAAAATTATATTACTACTAAAAAGATCGTTGTTGTTTCATCAGCTCGAATTCCTGACTTTCTTATTATCGCACTTTACAAGACCATTGGGTCAAACTCAACGACTCAATCTTGATAAAGAAACGGCCAATAGAGCATCAAAGCCTGTTCAAAATGGGACGAACAAGGTCAGAACTCATCGGACTACGTCATTGCCGAATAAATATCCGATTAAACATAAAAATATTGGGGGCACCGAATAGTGGATACCTGTGTCGAATATAAAAGCAAAGTATGTCGGGCGAGTTGGCACGGACCCATTAAGTGGGATTATGATGTCCCTTTCAAGGAAGTATAGAAAGGGGATGGGCCCTGACAGAATGATGATGAAAGACTAAGTTGCATGGAGTAAAAATCGAGAAGAGTGACTATAAAAAAAAGGATAAACTATACTGACACCCTCTGAAGTTTATGTTTATTATAGTTCCCCCCACATTTGGAAAATTACATTGACCCCCCTTGTTAATTTAATTTTATGTATAATGATCGTTACGGTGAGGGAAGAATTATTATGAAACTTTAAACCTCAGGGAGTAATCTGTAATGAAACTTTAAACCTCAAGAAGGGGGATGTAATTTTCAAAATATGAGGATAGAACTGTAATAAGTATAAATCTCGGGGGGTGTCAATGTAATTTATCCATAAAAAAGAAAGAAGAGAAGCTGGAGAAAGAGTTCTATAGAAAAGGAACCTTGAACCTTAAGAAATTAAAAAAAAAACACTAACCTTTTAACAGAGACTAACTTGTCTGTCAGAGTGCTAATTCCGGTACCACTGTCCGGAATTTTATTTCCATTTCAGGTGACAGCAGGAAGGATTATCCAAGTGCTTGTTTACAGGACTTGTGTTGTCCCACATTCTCTGCTGTACCCACGTTTTTCTCATTTTGGCATAAAACAGCCCATTCCATTACTATATATAGAAATCCATGTCATGAAGGTTTAGGTAAAAGAAAGTTTTGAAGTACAGCTTAAAACACACCAACTAAGATGGATAAAGCTATTGATGGGAGTTCTGCAGAGCTACTTCAAGCTCAAGCTCATATATGGAACCAAACTTTCAACTTCATAAACTCTGCTTCACTAAAATGCGCAGTTCAACTGAGCATACCAGATGTGATTCAAAGCCATGGAAAACCCATGACTCTCACCGAGCTTGTCACTGCACTCCCAATCAAGCAAGCTAAAGCTTGCTACATTTATCGCCTCATGCGAGTCCTAGTTCACTCTGGCTTCTTTGTTCAACAAAAGGTGTGTTAGAGGATTATAATAAAAATAAAATTATAGTTAGTACTTTTAATATTTCATTTACAAGAATTATTTTAAAATCAATACAAATGTTAAACCGTTTGTTAGGTAGCTTTATTACCGAAATAACTGCACCATTTTTATTATTCAATGTTCATTATAAGAATAAAATTAAAATGTGACTGTCACGTCAATTATGTACGAAAGGGATATTATAATTTATAGATACAAGCTTTTTGTCAAAAATTTGAGACAAACTGAAAAGTGATTTTAAAGATCTCCATACATACATATATATATATATATATTTATTAGATAGCGTGCACACTTTATAGGTGTGTTACAAAAACCAACCAATCTTACGTAGATGGAGAAAAAAGAAAACTAAAGAAATTATCAAAATTTCAAATTTCAAATCAAAATCTAGTGTAGTTATATAAAGATACTGTTCATACCAACTTAGGTGCTCACACCATATAATAGAATAGGTATTATTTTTGTTTTAGGCGACTTTGATTCATCACTCGGTCTAAGTTTCCTAATGATCGTGAACATTGGATGACGGATCCTATGAGCAAATTTATCATGAAATATCTTCAATCAACTAACATATTCACTAGAGAGAAAAAATGGTTTTAGAACAATGAGAGCATGACTCTTAAACTTTCACACACTATTTTAAACTCCAATTTAAGTGTATTTTTTTTTTTATATCATAACATTTGTGTTTAATATTCTGTTTATTACTTTGCTAGATTAACAAGGAAGACGAACAAGAACAAAGGTACTTCCTCACACCGGCTTCTAGGCTCCTTCTCAAAGACGAGCCATTGAGTGCAAGGTTGTTCTTGCTGCTCGTACTAGATCCTATTTTAACAAAACCATGGCACTTCCTGAGTGATTGGTTCCAAACTGACGATGCTACACCATTCACTACAGCTCATGGAAGGAGTTTCTGGGAATACAATGCTGAAGAACCGAGGCTTGGCAATTTGTTCAACGAAGCCATGGCTAGTGACTCACGATTGATCACAAGCGTGCTGATAAAAGACTGCAAGGCGGTGTTTGAGGGATTGACATCGCTTGTTGATGTTGGGGGTGGCACGGGGACTGTGTCCAGGGCCATTGCTGAAACATTACCAGACTTGAAGTGTACTGTGTTTGATCTGCCACATGTGATTGCTAACTTGCAAGGGACTGAGAATTTGGAATTTGTTGGAGGGGACATGTTTGAGGCAATTCCTCATGCAAATGCAATCTTACTTAAGGTATAGTAAATTAAGCTTTTGAAAAATTATTATTTTAAAAAAAACAAAAAATTAAATACATCCACGTCTAAGTAGTGTTCGGGACTCAGATGTGAAGTACTAGGATTGTGAACCCCTTATTGATCCTTCTGGTCTTGTTTTTGCTCCTCTAGTAAAGTAATGGAATCGAATTAAGTAGCTCTTGCTAACCAGGCTTTCCTCCTAAGCCTCATTCCTAAAAGAATGGAATGGTTTTTGCTAAAGTGAAATACACAACCAAACATGCTATAAGAATTTTCTTTTTAATTTTTTAATTTTTTAATTTTTTTATGTTTTTGTTTTTCATTTTTGTTTTTTTTGTTTTCAAACAGAAAGATAATAAAATTTTTGAAAACACTTATTATTTTCATATCATTTTTATTTTTATGTGAGAATAGTTTTTATTTTTATTTTTATAATTCATAAAACAATTTTATCTGTTTTTTAGAAAATAGGATAAGTTATTTTATCTAAAAAAAATTTCCAAATAAGTTATTTACTTTTTTTTTTCTTTTTCTTTTTCTTTTTCTTTTCGGATTGTAGCTTATTTTCAATATTATTGAAATTAGATGACGATTAAAATATATATAGATTTTTTTTTTTCCCTTTGAAAGTTGAAACTATGTAATATATCTAATGATAGAGGATCATTTATCGGAAAAATCCTTATTCTAAAAAATTCTTTATTTTCAACCCGTTTGATGATATATCTCAAGATTTTCATTTCTCAAAATTTTTATTTGCTCTGCTGACCGCGTGAATTAGATCTGGAGAATAGAAAGATTTTGAAAGACAAGATTTTGACTATTTTTAACTAAGATTGAGAATTGAAATGCAGTGGATTTTGCACGACTGGAATGATGAAGAATGTGTGAAGATATTGAAGAAATGTAAAGAAGCAATTCCGAGAAAGGAGGAGGGTGGGAAGGTGATCATCATAGACATGAGTGTAGAGAACCAGAAAGGAGATGACAGGTCGTTCAAAGCACAGCTCTTCTTCGACTTGTTGATGATGGTTCTACTTACAGGTAAAGAAAGAGACCGTAAAGAATGGGACAAACTCTTCTCTGATGCTGGATTCAGTCACTATAAAATCACTCCAATGTTGGGTTTAAGGTCTCTCATTGAGGCTTATCCTTGATAGAGGTCGTCAATACAGGGTTGTACTGCGTACTATCAAGCAACTGGAATTGCGTGTGTATGTACAAAGAAGTATAGGAATGCATAAATCAATCATGGACCTGTATACAGTCCTCTCATATCCATGCCCATGCGATAGGTCTGTGTCTGATTCTATGATTAATTTGGGCAAATAGAAGAATTGGAGCATGCTCAAGTTGTGCAAGCATGTTCGTGTCTGCAGTGTTATCGAAGTCATGTGATAAACCTTTTGAGTAATTATTTTCAATAAATTTATGCATAACTAGCTAGCTAAAATGCAATTTGTCTTACTGTATAACTAGCTAGCTAATAAACTTCTAGATAATCTCCTTTGCTTGTTATTGAAATTTTCTTCCCAACAAGGACAAATCCATCAACTCTAAATCATCAATGAAGTGGTTAAATTATCTCATTCATCTCTCTCCTAATACAGACAACAGATTATGGACCTCATAACTCAGTAATGAAAAGCATGCCTATAATCAAAGAAAATGAGGGAAGAAACACATTGATTCATATCCAACAGAATCAACACAAGGATAGTAAGTACATGGAAGGAAAATAGTAGTAAAAAGGGGCTTGCAATTGAATGCAATACTCCCCTTTTATAAAATGATGTATTAGACAAACAGAAAAGAATCATACAGTAGATAAAACATACCATTGGTACCTCCCTACGCTTTTAACTAAAATAACCCTAACCACCAAATGATGGAAGGAAGGCCATCAATCCACAAGCTTCCTCTTCAAAAAGAATGTTTGAACAAATATTTCGTCAACCGTCCGTTATTAGAAACCCTAAAGGCACCATTTGGTCAGATTCTTGATTTGCGTGAGTTGAAGATCTACGAAACTCTACGAAATTAATGCTCTGATTCCAGGACAAAAAATTGTAGCTGTCCATTGTGAGAAGCTCCACTCCATAAGAAATCTATTCAGAGGCATTTGGTCACAAGTGACAAACAAGTTCAGATTTCAGTAAGAACTATTCCAATCGAAATATATGTATAAAATAAATAAATAAAAGCACAAAACAACAACAGTATCAGTTAAAAGAGAACACATAAGAGACAAAGGTCTTTAAGGAGATAACTACAACCCCACCCCTAAATAAACAAATAAATTATTGACTAATTTGAAATCATGGAGCTTACTCCTGTTCTTTTACTCTTGCCTTCCCATCTTTCACTTTGTACACGACAAGCACTTCATTACATTTTTCCACTAATGACAGTGACAAATTACATAATAAGCAAGCATGATGAATCTAATATGATGCAAAGTCCACCCAAAAATGGAGGTCCACAGATAACGTGACGACCTAGAAGGTCTAATGCAGCCTCAGTTGTACCCACGTGTACATTGGCTCCAGAGAAAGACAAACAACAACTATTAACTATAATCCAAGGTTAAAAAATGGAAAAAACCAAGAATTCACGAGGGGAAGGGAATCAGAGAGACTGGTAGGGAAGAGAATGGTAGGAATAAAAGAGAGAATTCAGTAATTCTAGTAAGGTCACGACACCAGCAATACTCAGCGATCAAAGTTCTGAAATTTAAGTAAACATATTTGACTTGTTTGGACAGTAAAAAAAAATTTCTAGTAGGATTGTTTGAAGATTTCGTAGGGCCCTTATGTAGTAGACTTGTTTTGACATTTAAAACCTCATTTGTCTCCATCAATCTGACATCCAACAGCATTTTTCTGTTTCAACTACAAAGTATACAAAGCTGCCTAGGTGCCTAACCATATTACAATGAAACGATTCTATTGGTTGATGACCTCCGTGTATTAGGTCATTGCATCTTTTAATGAGTTAACATGATCCAACAATTTCAAGGCGAAATCCCCATTTACAGAACAGCCATGCTCAGTGATGCCCTAAACCATGTTTAATCATAATCAAAATCAAAGTTGGCTAAACAATCTCACAAGTTTAACATGGGCTAAGCTTGAAACATTTTACAGGCCAAGCTCAAATGAGTCCAAACTTGTTGGACACGAGCTGCTCAAAAACAACTTAGTTCGTTTGTTGCCTGTTGTCCTCTCACGTGCCTCCTGAGCATGACACTTTAACTGCTCAAAAGGATCGAAATCTTGAGCCATTCAATTCTTTGATCTGATCTGGTCTACAGTAGGGACTGCACATATCCTACCTTTAGGCAAACCAAACCAATAATTCAAAATATCTTCCAACTGTTCACTCTGGCAAAGGTCCATCATCCATATGCTAATTGCAAGGGCTCTAGAGAGGGCCAAGATTCATTGTTTTGAGAGTCCATTTTGTGATTAGGCCCATTGGACTTCAAACAGGTCAGGCCTCCAATGTGTTGAAGCCAACCTCATTTGGGCTAGATCTGGTAGTGCTGAAATGAGCCATGAATTACAATCGAGTGTCATTGTGTTTCATCCTTCCAAAGCCACAAGGATGTACTCTCATGTTCCAAATCTTAATTTGATAATGACATGTCCCGATACAGAGCAGTTTTTCCAAAATTACAAGCCCTTGATTCAAAAACCAAACTTCACACAATGAAGCTATAACATGATTATTTCGAATAGTTTTCTTTTCTTTTCTCTTTTTTTTTTTTTTTTTTTTTCTTTTTTTGGGTAAGTAATTTCAAATAGTTACTTTAACAGGAAAACACTAATTTTTAATTTAAAAAAGGGTTAAACATTCTCTAGTCTGATTATTGGCTCCAATAGGACATCTAGGGGTCATTGGAAGGAAACAAGAAGCTGATGACCAAGAGTTGCATACATACAAGTCTTTTGTGGAAATGGAACATCAAGACAAATATAGAACACATTAGTAAGCAGACGACATGGACTCTAATGCTGTGTTTGAATCTTGGATTTGTGGAAAACATGAACTCTGATCCAAGATCCAAACACAACCTGAGAAAGAATTTGCATGTACAACCACTATAGAGTTAGTGAAAAATCAGGATGGGGATACTAACAGAAATCTCCACTATTTATAAAACATGCAGAATGATATCGAATTAGTAATATCAGAGCTCCAAGAGCTCCTCAAAACTTGGGGAGCTAAAAACTGAACCACCTGGAAGAATAAAAACGGGGTTCATAATGAAACTCTAGAACCCATGTCGAATTCTTATTCATTCTACTGCTCCTATCAAATGCTCCTGTCAAATAAACCACCGAACTCTATAATGTGATGAAGGATAACCCAGTTACCAGACTAGAATGAACACAGTACCTGTTACCACACTGACAACATACCAAATATCTGAAAGAGAAACAACTATCCTATCAACAATGCTCATAATCCACATTGCACAAACATATAAAGAACAAAATATTTTACCTGCCCTTATGCAACCAATCTGAAGAAGCACCCCTAGGCACAGGGACTCCATAACAGAACTACTGACCTTTGGCAGCCACAGCGCACTTGTGTTAATATACATCCTTGTCATAGTCCTACTTTGTACAACTGGGAGTAACCTTGGAAAGAAAATGTTGTGATGAAAACAGAAATGTGATTATCTAATCTAACCATCTAATAATTAAGCCTACATGTCATAATCGAGCAAATGTGCTGAATACATGGCAAAGCACCATGGCCTCAAATGCTTTAGTGAATTAGGGGCATGACTCAGAAAGATGCAACATTAGTGGGTTCGTAGTTTGACTCAAATTTTTTGGTGTAGAACATTCAATCGAGGTTCACTATGGTGTTTTGTATCTCAAAGGAGCCTAACCAAGCATAAAACCAGCCATTTTAGGCTATCTAAGATGAAGTGTAATGTATTACTAATGGGGTAGTGTTCACTTGTTGCTTGATTCAAGATATACCATGGCTTAATTGCTCCCACAAAACATTTCATTAGTGACCTATTCTTCAAAGTCTAAACTCAATCTCAATGACTTTACTGGTATCTAAGTGTCCCAGTGCATCATTCTCTACAACTTTTGGGTTAAGATTTCCTTTGTAAGAAACAGGGTCTCTACCTGCTCCATCCCTCTCTGATGCATTCTCAAGTTGCTTTGCTCCCCCAAAGTCAGTACAGCTCCAATTTTTCTCCAACAAAGATCCACAAGAAAATAACCTATATGAATTACTGAAACTTTGACGAAGAAAATTTATAATTTTGGCTATCAAAAAAAGTTAGAAGTAAAAAAAAGAAAAAAGGAACAAAAAGCTATGGTTATTCTCAAAAACCACCCCCTTCCTCTCTCCTATTTAGGAATGAAGACGAAAAACAAATTTTGGTTCTTCTCAACCAACCCCAACCTGGCAACCTATGGTACTCTTCCAAGTCTCATGCACCCAATCCACAAAGCACCATAATCCTCAAAAGGAAATCATAGCTATGCAATTGCCATTGCTTAAAGCCTTCTTTTAAGAAATGCACTTTCTAACCAAAATTTGGATCAGTGTTTCAAAACTAAACACCATCAAGCCAAAACTAATATAATTATTCACCTGGAAAACCTAAAGTAAAAAAAAGACGACTTCCTTAATTGCATGATATAGAACAACTCTGACAACCTTAAGGCCCCATTTGTTTCCAGAGATAGAATGGAGGGGATTGATAGTGAGGGGATTGTTAGTGAGGGGATTGATAGTGAGGGGATTAGTAGTGAGGGGATTGATAGTGATATATAAAATAATAAAACAAATAAAAAAATATAAAAAATTAAAAATTATATTTTAAAAAAAATTTCCCATATATAAAAAATAAAAAAAATAAAAAAATTTCTAATCCCCTCACTATTTTTCTAATACCATCTCTACCTCCTCCTTATCAATCCCCTCTCCAAGGGTATTAGTAATACCAAGGGACTAATAGTCCCAAGGCCTTCTCCAAGACAAACAAGGCTATTACTAATACCTTGGTATTAGCAATCCTAATACCCTCTCTTTCACCCAAAACAAACGGGGCCTAACCTCCTTGAAGGAGTCAGGCAGTTGGCATCAATCACAAACTCACATATATAGCTTGCATCCAAAAAACTAGGGACACAATACAAGGATTCTGCAGTCTTATCCCCTTTTTAGAGACAAGACAAGGCACACAGGGCATGTTTGGTTTGTCTCTAAAAACATGTGTTTTGGAGAAAAAATTCCAAAAACATGTTTTATTGAAAAAAATTTCAAAATCACTTTTCTGTCTACTACACATCAATCAATCATTTTTCTCTCTCCTCTCTCTTTCTCAATCACTTTTTCTTTTACACCCATCTATTCAACTACAAAAAAATATTAAATCATCCCAAACTCCAAAACTATTTTTAAAATATACAACAAAAAAATATTTTCAAATTTTCTAAACTCCCTCCAATTTTTTTATTTTTTTTATTTTTTTATTCTTTTTAAATAATATCTCAAAACACAAACCAAACAAAGCCATAGAGATTTCTATCACCAAACAATCTCTTCCCCAGCTGTCACAAGAGAAATATTCTTTAAGCATCATTCTCCAAGTAAAAAAAAAAGGGTGGGGAGGGCTAGAAAATTATAAAAAAAGAAATAAACGACACAAACCGTAATCCGTAGAACATCCAACTTTCATGATATCTTCTAGATCTAAAAGTATCCTCTACTCTAGATGTAAAAGTATCATCAAATTACCAATTTTTCTTCTTAGGTGAGGTCCTCAGAAAGCCTCTCAAGATTCCAAGCACCAATTGACTTTCTCAATTTCTGTCTAGGGTAGTTCCCGTTGCAGCTCCAATCTCTATGTTTACTCTTAAAATAATAATCATGTTCATCATTAAATAAACATCTTTTCATAAGGATATTTACCTTGAAAAATGAACCCTTCTTTACTGAGTTTCCTCCAAAAACATTAATCCTCATAACGTCAAATTAATTTTCCAGCACCTTCTTCTTTACCACCTTTCAACAGTTCAATGCTTTTAATCCAGGCAAAGCTCAAGATGCAATCTACTTAACATTAATCCATCACTGCCATGCTTTTTTAAACTAAGAAGCAAAGATAAAGACACGCAACAAGCGACAACATGACACGAAAATGCTAACATGGAAATTTTCAAAAAATTGGACAAGAGATGTGGGGGGTGCTCGAGTATATAGTTTTATAATTTTATATATTTATTTTATGTTATATATGAATATTTTGTTCAAAGATAATAAAAATGCAAAATAATATTAATTCCTAAAATCTAAAGGAGGAGAAATTGATAGGAATATAGATCTACATTATTTTTTTTTATCATTGGATTCCAAGTTAATTTCTCCAAACTTGTAATGTGTTTCATGTGTCTCATGTGTCTCTAACTGATGGACACATGTCCCCATAATGTCTCAAGTGTGTTTGATCTAATTTTTATTAAAAACAATAATAATGTGTATGACATGTTTTGGGAAGTGTTTAAGGAGTGTCTATGGTTGATTGGACACAAAATCTTTCTGGAAGCATCGTTAGTTAAAAGGCCTTCATTCTCAAATTTTAAAACTTGGTTGATTTTCATCTTTACACTTAAGGAAAATAACAATAATATGATTTGCACTCACTAATGAAAAGCAAGTTGCACAATGTCCAAATTACAATCACCCAAATTAATAAAGTGGTTTAGAGAGGATAGAAAAGTCTCAATTCAGAAAGGAAAAAATAAAATCCACCAAACGTAAGAGCTATAATATATAATCAAACTAGTTCATAGGTAAAAAATTGTCTTATAGTTGATATGTGATCATATAAAAATATGGCAACGAATGTCAAACACAAATGTGGCATCTTCTTGGGGAGCGTTCATATTTCTTAAATATAGATGAATAATTGGGGAAAAAATATAAAAGTATACAACAAATAGCTTATTGTAGCCACCCTGCCTACAATAAAGGCATACGCTGATTAGGACCAACCACCTCAATAACAGGTAGCTTACATGTAAATATAATCACCGTTATGTCAGGTGGTTTGAAGGCAGCCACCTTATAAAGAAGTCACCTTAATGTTAAGAAAAACTACAATAATACACCCAATGGGAAAAAACAATAATTTAAATGCCATGTTTGATTTGCTGATAAGGAGGTGAGGTAAGATTAAATAATCCAGGGATAAATTTATCCCACCCCATGTTCAACCAAGACCCTTTTATCTCTCATGTGCAAGATTATTTTGTCGCAAGGGGACGGAAAATTTATTGGTATTAGGGCAATAAGAATGTGTTGCACCCTCCTCGTGCTAAACACCTACACAAAATATTAGACACATAATCACATTGGTATTGAGGCACCACTGACTGGGAATGCTCCAAAAGCACCAACTTGTTGAGTGGGCGAGACAACTTGTGCCAGCATATAACTTTTGTCACAAATGACTTAAATGCTCTTGAATATGTTATGCTGAAAAAGGTAATCTCAACATAACTTATCCTCCACAATCATATCTGTACATCAAACGTGGTCTTAAGGTATATCATAACCCAAAAGTTAATAATGCACATAAAAATACAACTTCTCTAGTCCTAAAACACGATAACCTACACAAAAGTTTACAAGAGAACTAGCTTCCAACTAATAGCTAAATAACAAAAATATCATCATTATATAGGGTAATGTGACTTTCAAAATTTATTGATCCACATTTTTTAACAAGGTATGAACAAAAACAACTAACTGATTGATCCATAGCAAATGAAAAATAAAAATGTATAGAGTTGCAATTATATAATTTCTATATATATAAACAGATGAAGATGCATAAAGTGAACAACAATATGAGCAAAACTGATTCCATAGAAGCTAAAAACTGAGAATCGTACCGATCATCCACTTGAACTCGGGCGAGTCCCACTTGAACGAGGCCGATTCATCTCCACCGGGCCTGAATCGCCAACTCGGCGCATCCTCTCATACCCACCTCCAGACTTGGGTCGCCCTTCTTCCCCGTGCTTATTCGGCGACCCGAAGTGACCCCCGAACTCCCTGGATCGGACTCCCTGCTGCTTCTGGAGCTCCGGCCCGGGCTTCTCCTCCCTGCCGACGAATCCCGGCCGAAGATGAGGTGGAATGAACCGGTTCGGCTTCGGCGAAGGCGATGGAGATAGAGATGAAGATGGAGAGAAGTCCTTGTTTGGCATGGGCAACGTCAAAGGAAGGAGAGACAAAGATGGGCCAGACCCGGTTCGACCCAGAGGGCGGAGAGAGATGGAGTCCGGGAGGAATCGGGGTTGATCCGGAATTGCAGGGGGGTGGGGTGGGGATTGAGGTTGGGGTTGGGGAATGGGTTTGGGGGAAGGGCGGGTCAGGACGAGCATGTTGCCATGGATGCGAGAATTGGAGAGGATGGTTTTGGTGGAAGTGGTGAGAGGAGATGATTGGGAAGAAGAGGAATGGTGTTGTTTGTTGTTGGTGGGATTGATGATCTTCTTCTCGTAGATGTCGTTGAAATTGAGGGAGGCGTATTTGTTGGCTCTGCTTGCCATCCACCGGAGACACCACCGCCGCCGCGAACGGAGGAGAGAGAGAGAGAGAGAGAAGGGTTGTTTGGAGGTGGAGTTTGGATCTAAGGTGAAACAATTCGCGTTCTGGGACTCTCTCCGGGGTACCGTGTCTGTACTATTGGTCCGGCGGCCACATCCCAGAGGCTTTTCCCAATATAGCCAAATTTCCATCTTAATTGCAAAATAGACCTAGTTTTGACGGAATTTTTAAATTAGACTAAAGTGTTATTACAAATTACGTTTTTACTGTTTCAAGTAAAAAATTTGTAAAATAATGAAAGCGTTATTATAAATCACGCTTTTAATTAAGAAAGCGTGGTTACAAATCACGCTTTTAAAATAAATTTATTTTCTTCATAAAACGTGGTTTCAAAACACGCTTTTACTGTGATTATTTTATTTTTTCAAAAAAACGTAGTTTCAAACCACGCTTTCACTATGCATATTATTTTCTTAAGAAAACGTGATTCATAATTACGCTTTCACTGTCCATATTTGTTTTGTTAAGAAAACGTGATTCACAATCACGCTTTCACTGTTGATAAATGAAAACGTGGATTGCAACTACACTTTTACAACTCATATAAAACCCCCAAGCCCCCTCATTTGCAATCACGTCTTTTACACTTATGTTTTTTTCGACTCTCGCTCTCGCTCTCCCCTCTACTCTGCTCTGCTCTCAAACTCTCGCTCTTCCTCTGCTCTCAGACTCTCTCTCTACTCTGTCTCTGTCCTTGGTATGGCATCTATCTCTCTCTGTCTCATTTGAATTTTATGTGTTTATTGTGTTTGTGAAAATGTGAATATGTGGTTTTGAATTGGTAAAAAATGTTGTGGTTTTGAATTGTGAAAATTTTGTAGGGTTTTCAATTGAATGTGAAATCATAAATTATGAAATTAGAAATTAGGATTATGAAATCATAAATGTATTAGGGTTTTGAATTATGAAATGTGTGGTTAAATGTGTTAAGGTTTTGAATTATGAAATGTGTTAGGATTTTAAATGTGTGGTTATGAAATTATGAAATCATAAAATGTTAGGGTTTTGAATTGTGAAATCAGAAATTATGCTTGTGGTTTCAGAAATTAGGGTTTTGAATTTTGAATCGTGTCTATATTTTTTGCATTGTAAATTGTGAATCCTGTCTATATTTTTTGAAATTAGGGTTTGGAATTTTGAATTGTGAATAAACCAACCTATATTTGTTGAATTGGAAATTCTATTTTTTGCTTGTTAATAAAGGAATTTTTTTTAATTAAGAATAAAATTATGTGAATTGAAATTCATATAATTGAGAATTGTTAATGTCATATTATGAAATTCATATAATTGTGAATTGAGAATTGAAATTCATATTATGAAATTCATGAATTGAGAATTAAGGTGGACTGGCAATTTCAATTCGAGGTCCACATGCTTACATATATGATCATTTTGTTTCAAAAAATAAGACTGTAAACTGTATGATTGAATTCAAAATCTGAAAATTGAAATGAATCTGAAAAATTCAAAAGTTGAGAGATTTGAAAAAAAAAAATGAATTTAGTGCATAACTGCCCATATAACTAATATAGGGGTATTTTTGAAAAACTCAAAATATGAGACATAAACACCCAGAGAAGACTTCTCTTTATAATAATACTAGATATATATACACCTTTATTCAGTATTTCACTTGGTAATATCAAGGTGGGGTTGTATACTTGAATCCGTCGTCTATTATATTATATGAGAAATGGTATTTGTCACCTGATTTATTTCACTATACTATTTTACCCTCTAGGTGTATTTATTCAATTCAAGACATTGTGTACATTTAATAAAGGGCAAATTTCACTTCAATGTGCATGTGCAAACTACCCATATAATTTGGAAATAACTATAATGTTCTTGTGGTTTGTGGACTAAATGAAGTATACCGTCAGACGCTCAATCCAAGTTAACATCAAGTGTGAAACATGTGCTAGGTCATAAGGGGCTTATGTTCTTATTTTCAAATATCAGAGGTAAATCACACATGGAGTAAAGCAAAGGGGGTTAAAGTCAATTTTATCTTTCAAAAAAATGACAAATATGAATTTCATAATACCAATTTCAATTAAAAATACTAAGTGTATAGAAAGATTAACGTTTTTTCCTAAGTTAAATTTCATAAAACTAATCTCAACCAAATGAAATTATTCAAAAAAAAAAAATTTAATTTTGACTCTATTTTATTCCAAAAAAAAATATTTTTATTAACTTCAAAATAATAAATGAAAATATCATGTTCTCTCAAATAAAAGATAAAATGACTATATTAACCTCAAAATTCTATTTTACGTATTTTCTTTATTTAATTGTGTAGGTTACATAAGAGATTTAAACATTTCTGGCATCCTTTAATGAAAAATAATATTAAAATTTGTAACTAATTATTTATTAAATGGGTTATCTGTGTCAATTTCATATTATGCAGGTTTGACATAACCCTATTTATTTATTATGTTATTATATAGTGTCATATTTGTGTTTGTGTTGAAAATGTTCAACCCTAACCCCTAACTTCGTGTACGATTCATGTTGTGTTAGAAATTCCCACCTGTAATAGAATCAAAGTAGGTTCAAGTGGAGTGCCTTTGGCATATTATGTGATCAATGATGCTGACAAAATTGACATTGTTAATTTATAAAACAATTGTAAGACCAGTGATACTTTGCAGTTCACATAATATTGGACAATTAAGAAACAACAAGCTCATGAAACGAGTGTAGTTAAGATGAGGATGCTTTGGTGGGTGTTTGGTAAGTTTTGGACAAAGAGAAATAGAAATGAATATACATTAAATGGTACGAGTAGCACCAATTGAAAATATGTTGAGAGAGAACAAACTAAGATGGTTTGGTATGTACAATGAAGACTAGCAGATGAAATGGTAGAGAAGAATGTGATAGGATCACCGTAAAAGGAAATGTTAGGGGAAGACGTAAATTGACTTGGGATGTGATAGTAAAAAAATTAAACGAATTTATTTAATTTAACCGAGTATATAGCTTTTAATAGTATGAAATGACGAAAAAAGGATTCACGTATCGTAGCCCACTTGATTGGGACATAAAGCTTTGTTTGATTTAGTTTCGTTTGGTTTATTTCACTGTATTTAGGGTCAGGCACCCAAAATATTATAAAAAATTCTTAGGATTTATTTTCATTTGGGTTTCGCTAAAGGTTTCCACTTAGTTGTTAACTACCTAAATCCATACTTTAGGACATAGCTTATTGCAGGTGTCTGCATATAAGCACATAAGCACTTGTAAATTGTATGTCAGACCGGATTGCACTTTGCCCCTCCAAGCTAACCAACAAAAAAAACTGAATTTTGGGAGGTGTCACATTCTTCCACAACCATTTGAAAAATCAAACCAAACAATTTATTTTTGTCAAATTTATTTATATTTTTTCAAAAAAATCAAAAAATAATTAAAAAAATAAACCAAACCGCTATATCATGTATTATTTTGAATATACATTCAATAAAATTAATAATTTTTATAAAAAATATTAACTTTGATATTAGAATAATTTGAAGACATTTCATCATAAAATACTAACATTTAATTTTATAATCTTGTCATAGAAATTTTAAAAAATTTAATGACCTGAATTTGTAATACATATAATAGCATTATAGTATAAATTAAAATTTCTTCACAAAACTTAAGAAAATTTGAAACAGTTTTTGAAATGGGTATTGAACAAGTCAAAATGAGCTTTTTGTTTGAATTTCATAACAAAGCCTCTATGACCTCTAAAAAGTGAACGAGGGTTACTATTTCACATAGGAAATAATTTTGTCATTAAGGTCCCTAATGGCACAAGTTTTAGCAAATCAAATTAACTTATCTTTAATTGTTTATAAATCTGAAGAATTGGATCATCAGTTTTAAAAAATTAAGAACAATGTTTGAAACCTCTATTTTATATTGTCCAAATCAATCGAGTTATTTCAACTCAATGAAAAAAATAATAATTTCATACAAAACTTACACTATGATTTAAGATGTTTGTATGACTTGTCCAATTTTGTCCAATCTCACTGAATAAGAAAAATACTTGATAGAATAAAGTGTTTTTTAAATGTGTGATATATATGTCTACTTTATCAAAATACTAAAAAATAGATCAAGATTTATGAAAAGAAAACAAAATAAGTGTTTTTAAAATTGGTCTTGCTTACATGCGTACGATTAAATCATTGCCTAAATTAACGGTTGTGTAGAGTCATTTTTATTATTTATTTATTTATTTATTTATTTTGAGTGAATGCCTTTTAAAAATTGATCATATTGAGGGAGGGAGGCCGTTGCCGCAATGGTAAGGTTGTTTTATTAGGCTGATAATAATATAAAATAAAATAAAATCTATTATAATTCGAGTGTTATAGATTCAAACCATAGAAATAATGGGCTTGTTTGGTTTGTTTTTCATAAAAAATTTTGGAAAAATTGCTCTACAAACAAATTTTCGAGAGTAATCAAACCAAACAAATTTTTTCAAAAAAAATCTCAAAATTTTGTTTGGTTACCTACTTTCCAAAATAACTTTCTCTCTCATACACATCAAATCAATCACTTTTTGTAAAACTCTCTGCCCAAAACAATTTTCCACAACCATTTTTGAAAAAAGGCAAACCAAATAAGTTTTCGTACTTTTTATCTTAAAAACTACTCTACAAACACAAACCAAACACACTGTCTCTAGATACTGAATAATACGCATGCATATATCTGATCTTCCTCTAAACTCTGCCATGAGTCATGACTGTAATCTTTGGAATTGTCCCTTTATAGATCTTATAAATCAAAATGGGTCACTAGCTAAAAATCTTGTAGTTTTGTTATAAACAAACAAAATTGATCATAAAATTGAATACAAATACATATATACGCATAAAATTTTATAGAGTTTGGTACTACTTTGAAAAATTTTATCCATCTATATACATTTTGTGTACAGTTCTATAACCATTTTTGTATTCTTAGACTTATTCAAAATCTGAAGTTATTGCTGCTATGTGATTCAAAATTTCTTTTTGGCCACTAATTCAATAAACATTTTTGTATAGGACATCTATACATGTGTATGAATTCCAAAAAGGATCATATGAACAAAGCATATCCAACCTCAAAAAGAATGAGAATAAAA